TCTCGGACTTCTGGATAGTCTTGTTCGGGTGCTTCGTCAGTCATTGAGAAACAGGGGAATTGAAGAAATCTCAAAACTGAAAATCGTCAGACATCTGGATGGAGCGCGGAACCGTGCATTGTACTGTAGTGATTATAAAGTACCCACATTACACCAGAAGCTAAACACGCTGTGCTCAGACACGCGGACCGGTGTCCGGGTAAATACACTGAGGAGACACTGGCTCACTCAGGTGCAACGTCAATAGGACGCAAGGGCTGTGGGCTAGCTTAGTCTACACATCTGACCAAGATGTACACACGAGGCCCAAAGGTGCAGCTTGCCGGGCTAGCCCAGTCCGGTAGGTCGGACATTGGCGGAGTGAGACCCAGCCTAGGGACAGAAAGGAAGTGTTGACTTGAAGGCTAGTCACGCAGTGTTCTTGACACGCAGACCAGTCCCCAGAGGTCCTAGGCTGAGGAGAGAGGCTCACTCATGTGGGAGCGTCAATAGGACGCAAGGGCCGTGTACTAGCAGTACGCACGTTACCCAAATTGAATAGATCTCGCTGTCTCCGTGGACCAGGCGAGAGGGGTGACTTGAAGTCTAGTCACGCAGTGTTTAGACACGCAAACCAGCCTACAGAGGTCAAGCGATGAGAAGTCATTGATTAACTCAGATTCCGAGTTGAGAGACGTTAAACTAACAGACGAGAGGTGGCCAAGGTTCACGCGGGTCGCAGAACCGCACTCCCTTCGTCGATGAACAAACCATATCCGACTAGACAAACTCAAACTCACAGAGCGGTATCGTGAAACACTTGCACCCTCTGGCTAGGAGGCTAGCTGAGATCAACAGCACACAAGTACTGTCCCCGGCCGTCGCGGTTTCATCATCGATAAAACCCTGCGGGATTGACCTCAGCAAGAAGATATCCCCCTTATTAGTAGTCAAGATTTGGTTATCGATCCTATCCTTTTTTATTTGAATTTTTTTCTTTCTATTTTTCTTTCTATATTTTTGATGCTATCCGTCCGCAGATATTTCATTGCCCGTTCAGTTTATCAATTCCACACATTTGCTGCCCTACTCATATGATCTTTCGAGACTACTCTCGAAATTAAATCCATTACCCATACTTGGCGATAACCTTGCCGTCAACTTTAATAAAAAATCCTCATGATTACCACGTAACAACCATCTCTTAAAGTTATTTTTGCGACTCTCCCACGGGGAGTTTCAGTTGCTTTCCCCAGAGTAACTCCTGCACCATTGATCCCTCGTGAACACTATTCACTTCCCTTTTCCAGATTTTCCTCGTTCGAACAGTTGAACCGGGTTGAAACTCAACAACTTTCTGGTCTTTCTGGTCTCCTTGACCTCATAGCCTTTCCCCAATGCCCGTGCATCACCTCAACTTCACTCATTCTCAAAATGACATGCTGCACATGATGAGTTCATGATCCAGTTGAATTTGACGGACCCTCACTCGGAGTAAATCCTTCCCTCGGAGGTTCTTTCTGTCAATTTCATAGTAATTTGATCAGTTTATTCGACAGTATCAAACACACTCTGCTCTTGTTCCGAGATCTCCTTATCTCTCAAATATATCATGCACTAAGTGTGCCCTTACCCAAAATTTCATTTGAAATCACGAGACAGGTATGGCTCAACCCGACTCGCGCTTTGCTGGCTAGAATTTCCCCCTTGTGAAGGCGAGTCCACCATGAACACGTTGACGAGATATCGGTACTGTGGGCATAGAAATCGGTACTGGATCCCGGCAGTAAATGAGGTCCTACCCATATACAGTCAGTCTAGTTCTGTTATC